TGTAGCTAGCAATTGAGTCCTCTGGCTTGGTCAGTTCAGCTGTCCTCAATGTGCATTCTATTCAGTGCCAATGGAAGGCCAGGGACATATGGCGGTTGCCGCACATGTGGAGATGGTGGCCCAGCCACGGCCAGTGGACGAGTGTGTGTCACCACTTACCAGCCAGTTGAACCTCCCCAGTATTGATGCATAGATGGGCAGGAGAAGATTACCAGGACGAGACCAGGAGGTATTAGGTGGAGGAGAGATTATTAGCATATATGAATGTCCACGTAGGGGGGCACTAATTCGCATCAGTGGTACAGTACCTTTGTTAGGTACGTGCATCATGTATTAGTTCCTACACTACTCTCACTAGTTGGTTTGCACCTTTTTCTTATCAGCCTGGCTTATCAGCCATGGAACAATATTTTTCTCTTACAGTAAATCAATTTCTCGATGTGATTCCCATATATATTTCCACAGCCCCCACCGCACACGACAGATGGCCGTGTCAGAGCTGGTAGATCTCGGTGTCGTGCAATGCCCCCAGTAGTTTTTACCGTGTGGATTCGTTCTCATGTTCCACTAGCAAATGTCTACTTTATACCCACATAAGAAATAGATCAGCTGAGACCTATTTTTTCCATTCCTGTACCATGACGATGAGTGATGGCAATGGATGGTTTTTCCTTGTGCATTACAATTCGCAACCCTTTCTTCTAGAGAAATAGAGTGTCACTATAGCAAACAATTCGGATAATTCCTACTATTTCCATGCTTAAAAAGCAGCATTTGTTATCTGCAGCTTGATGAGTTGTTGGGCACTGGCCTACATTTTTTAATGAAACAGGAGGGGCAAAGGCTTTACTACAATTATTATTAAAGAAAGCAGAAAGTATTTTCACCAGGGAATACAGACAATTTACAATGAAAGGGAAATATTTGCTTGTGGCGAATTTACAATGAAAGGGTGCAACCGTAGGTTGCTCATTGTTTAAGATGGTACTGTTCCTTGGCGATCATATGCTCCAGCTCGTCAGAATGATCACTTCCATGAAAAATGGAACTCGTTGGTTAACGTTCTTAAGTTCTGAACCTGTGCGATGCCTGCTGGATTCAGCTCAGCATCTTGTCACTGCAACAAATAATTCAATGACTTTTAGTATACATGATGAAAGACAATCAGATTCTCTGGTGGCCGTACTCGAGGATTCCGAATCACCAGGACAGGAAACGAAAAGCAAAGTGAAAGGATTAAAGGAAGAAGGGAGGCACACTAGCAGTTGCTCTTCTCTGTGTGGGTCAGTCCTCACCCCTCACATGATACGATCATATTGTGTACAGGGTACATATAAGGTCTGTTTGGTTGGATCTTAACCAGGCTAAAGAAAGCTAACTTCGTGATGTTTGGTTGCTGTTTCGAGTCCGAAGCCAGGCTCAAGAGAGCCACCAACCACCCTTAGCCAGGCTCCAGAAGAACGCATGCAGTGGTTGTTTTTTTGAGGCAGGCTTGGCTTAGCACCGGCACACCGGTGGGCTGTTCTTCCCACCTCCCGTCTCACCTCCGCTCACCCTCCAAAGTCACCGACGGCGAGCTCCGCTCTGCTCCAACTCCGGCAGTCCGCATCTGCTTCTCCTCCTCCGGTGGCCCACATCTGCTCCTCCGGCGCTCCTCCCACCCGCGAACTCACCAGGCAGGGGCCCTACAGCAGCGAGATCGATCTTGACCTCCGGCTGCGCGAGCTGTATGGGTTGGCGAGCATCTCCGGCGGCGGTGCAGACTGGACGAGGATGCTGCTCGGCAAGTTCGCTGGTGGGAGTTCCAGGATGCGGCCCACCGCCAGGAACGACATCTTTCAACGGCATGCTGCTCGGCGAGTTCGCGGGTGGGAGCTCCAGGATGCGGGCCACCACCAGGAACAGCATCCTTCAACGGCATGCTGGCCCGCATCTGCTCCTCCGGTGTCTGGAAATCCTGCACGGTGAAGAACGTAGACGGCCCCGCCGGCAACTGCAGGTGGAACAGCGACCCGTGCGGCTCGCACTCGTCCGTGAGGTCCGAGCGGACGCATGCCACCTCCTCGAGCGGTGGACTCCGCCGTTCGGTCGGCTTGATTTTGCTGGCCAGGTACCATGACAGAAATCCAAGCCCCGCAAAATAAGCTTGAGGAGGACATAAGACAGCCAGCCAATCTATAAGCGAGAGGATATTGCAATTTGCAAACTGGGGAAATGGACAATCCGTGGCAAACTGCGTGCATTCAGATTTCAGAGAATGGCTAGCTTTCAGCATTTACCTGAATAATGCCCACTTGGGAAGCTCCTGTGGCCCTCTTCGATTACGCTCCGCTGTCCATGACACCTCCGGTGATGTTGTTGTACTTCTAAAATGGAATTAATGTTCAGGTAAATAAGCTAGTTACTTCAGAGTTACAACTTCTTCCAGCAACATTCCAGTTCTGAAACTAATGAACAGTTTCGAAGTGTCGACAGGAAGCAACAAGCAAGCTAGCTCTGAACCTCTGACGAATCTGTGTAATGAATTCTGACAGATCAAGTCATTGAGGATGCCCACCACTTATTTGATCAAATGCCGCAAAGGTAGTAACCTTACCAATTCAGATAAGAGGTGACCATCAAAATAAATCGGACAACCAAACAAGCCAGGCTTAGACAGTTTGTACAACCAAACAAGCAGGGGTTGCTCCAGTGACCTTTCACTTGCTGTAGTGTTCGGCTAGACTCTGTCAGGCTCCAGCTCTATGGTACAGTAACCAAGCAGCGACTTGTAGGATCGAGCAACAAAATGTGGTTTCATTAAAGTATTCCTGAATTAGCAGCTCTTGGGCCCTAATTCATAGTGGTAATTGAACACTCTGCCAACATTTACGTGGGCAGGGGCTGCATAGTGTAGCCTTATTTCGTGACTAAGCAGCGGAGGTCAACGATATTCGCACCATGCACCGCTTTACATGTAATCAGTAAGGAAAATGCAATATCCTGATGATTGAATAATTTTTTTGTTTTTTATTCGATTTACGAGGTGGGCATCCAACCACCTCAGAAAAATATCCCATTTACTATGACCTTTGCAACGAGGCGGTTGCGATGCCCGCCTCGGTTAATCTTTTTTTTCCCGTCTCGGTAAACTTTTTCTGTAGTAGTGGTTTGCATACCTCCTAAGATATCAGTGCTTGCCCACACCTAGTATTGTATACTAGGGCTTTGCCGTCTATGCTGTAGCAAGCATGTGACCACTCACGTTTTTGCTAGAAATATGACAAAGACAGCAAGGACTGGTCCGTGAGAATGCCATATATGGAGGCACATGGGGAAGGACCATGGCCTGCATGGAGTTACCCTACCAGGGCAGTTTTTGCAAGGGGATCAAATGAGGATTAGAGGGAAGTGTGGGCTTCTCGATACTTCAACAAAAAATACCGTCATCACTACTAGGATTTTGCATTCTGATCCCACCTCTCTTAGTTGTCATAGTTCATTGCATTGCTTGGCTGTGTTCTTGATATGATCCACTTCACTATAGGACGCGTACAGTGCAGAAAATCTTGTCCTAGATTTAGTATTTACAGACGCGATTCCCCCTTGACTTTTGGGGCTCCAATTATGTTCACACTTGTAAGTGTGCACATGGTGAGCACTAAATTAACCAATTAAAATTGTTCCTTGACACTCTGCCCTGTTAACACGCTACATTGAGTACTCTGTGGCTGATACTGCCATATACTGGGCCTGCAGTGTGTGTAAATACACTACTGCAAGTCTGCTACTTGAGATAACTTATTGCTGTAGCTAGTCCAATGACTAATAAACTTTTAAGAACGATCGTTTGTTGGAGAAATATATTATTCAGAACTAATGCGACCATTGCCTCAGTGAATCTTAACTAGTTTAAAATTTATCAATCAATAGTATTGATGTTCAGCAATTAATCAATAAAACATTAAGTTTATTCTCTCTCCTCCCTCTCCTTTCCTCTGAAATAGCTGACCTTGATAGCTTCATGGTGTTCGAAAATTCACTCCTTTTGATGTTCCATGACCAGGGATACCATAACATAATGTCTATTGTGGATCCTTCTTAGGATTGGTCGTTTTACTGAAATAAGTTTACTTATTTTCATGCATGTCTGTCTGTTAAAGTTGTCCAAGTACATGTTTTACTATAAATTGAGTTATCCAAAGGGAAAAAAATACTAATAACAGGTATGTCCATTACGCAGGTATTGCACATCTGGTCTTCCTAGCGATATAACTGTGGTAGTCGGGGAGCAGTCTTTCCATCTTCACAAGGTAATCTTTCACCATAATGATTCATGCAGCTGTTTCTTTGTTTGACACCATTTTTCATTTTTCATGCATGCAACTGGTTTACTAATTTCATTGATTTTGGGTGGCTATTTCAGTTCCCTCTGTTGTAAAAAAAATGGTCTGTTGGAGAAGCGTATAGTATCCTGGAGAAAATCGATAAAGGGGAAGACACAGTTGGGTCATTGATCTATCTGATATTCCTGGTGGAGCAAAGGCTTTTAAACTAGCTGCTATGTTTTGGTATGGTGTAAAGTTTGAAATTAGGGAATGCATCAAGGTGTGGTGTGTGTGTATCACTAACGCATTTATCAATAAGAAGAAAGGTGCTCTTTGGTTCAGTGAGTGATAATGCAATGGGAAATGGAATCAGATAATAGTGTAATCGAAGCTAGGGATGCTTGGTTGCCAGCTAGCTTTATATGGAAATGGTTACAGACCGTAGGAAGCAAACAGGTGCAAAGGTAATGTATACGTTACATTTTTGCAAACCAAACAGCCCGAAAGATGCATAGAGTTTGTTCTGTGCTAGCTTTATCAAATTAAACACATGTATTATATCCGAACTTCATCATTCCGTACAACTTGATTCTGCACAAAAGTATAAGAGGCCTCTAGTGCCATATATTATTATACATAGTTTGGACTCCCCTTCAAGGGCATCAATACAATACAATACAATAATATAACATATTATTCTTCGGATTCGGAATCCTCATCATCATCAGAAGAAGAATCTTCGTGTTTATCTTCTCTGGCTTCCTCAGGTTCGTCTCCTGGTCTCTCATGTTGCGGGGGACATTGGGGGTACCAAGGGCACACGGGGGGCCATGATGGGCCGTAGTATGGAGGGCACACGGGGGGGTATGATGGGTGGTAGTATGGAGGGCACACGGGACAGCACGGAGGCGGAGCCCGAAGCGGTGGCTTCGCGTCATCCTTCTTCTTCTTCTCCTCCTCCTCCTTCTTAGGCTTCGCAGCAACGAAGGAGATGCTCTTTGCTTTTTCTCCAATGCAAAACGGGCCAGCATGTTGGATAAGCATCCACAGCACGGTGGTGAGGTCGCCACCGGCGCTGAGCTGCTTGGCATGGGCCTCCCTGCTGCACCGGACGGCCGCGTACACCAGCTTATCCACCCACACATTGAAGATGAACTCCAGCATCTCATCTGATACCCGCGGGGGAGACCACGGAGCAGCTCGGCTTTCTACTGTAGTAGGTCGCTTGTCGCCTGATAGGCAAAAATAAAGGTCTTGTGCATGCAGGAGAAGTTGCGTACCTTCGTTGCCTTCAATTTTATCCTCAGACGGCACATTCTCGTCGTCCTCCACGATCCTTACGCGTCGCAGGATCATGGCAAGCTTTTCTTTGTTATTCATGATTGATTTTTCTCGATCGGGTAGTATCTTACTACGCTGACCCCCATCCCATATTTCAACCAATTTCTTGCGGGTTACCTGCAACTGGCTGTGGAGGACAAGGCCAGGTAGCATTTGTCGGCGAACAGCAACAAGGAACATCATGTATTCCGACATCACCCCAATTGCCGACGCAAGTCTTCTTCCGTCCGTGAGGACCACCAGGACCATGCAGGTGGCGATATGCCACAAGATGACGTCCTCCTCGAATTCCTCGCCGAAAAGATGCGACAAGAGGACGTCCTCCTCGAATTTCTTTTTGACTTGCTCAGGTGCACAGCTGAAGGCCTTGTGGCCGTGCTTTTTTAATTTCTTTTTGACTTGCTCGTCCTTTTTTAATTTCTTTTTGACTTGCTCAGGTGCACAGCTGAAGGCCTTGTGGCCCCAGCGTGTCCTGATGTCCAACCTTGTGTACATCTTCTTCTTCTTCTCCTCGTCCTTCTCCTGAGTATTAATAATGGCCTGCTGCAATATTTCCGTCACTCGCTCGAACAGCACTTTCTTTACGCATTGAGGAAGCTTAGACAGATACCGCAACTCCTTGGGTCTGTCGTCTCCAGGCATGGACACCGGCCACCACTCTGGACAAGTCGTAGGGGTGGCAGTGCACTCAGTGCCGGTCCTGGGATTGTTGACGCCTAGAGCCAAACTCAAACTCAGGCCCTCTTAATATAAAAATCATATCAATAGTACTAAATTTATAATAGATATTCTCTGACTCATTAATTCATTTACTTCTATAAGAGTGGGTTTTAAGGATCTCCTCTTGAGGAGCTATTCTATCATAACTGGTTTGGCAAAAAAAAATATGTTTCATATAGATTTCTTAGCTTGTATGACTCTTAAAAGATTTATAATGGATACTCTCTGACTCATTAATTCATTTACTTATTTCTTCTTACTCTTTTTGGTCTCATTTTCTCATTTCTGGAAGACTATTTTTGACATAACATGGTGGTGTTGAAATTTAATAAACAGACAAAAGAAGCAACTGAAACAAAGTATAATGAATAAATATAGATTGTTATTACGGGCTGCTACTTTCTAGCACTAGCAGCTACTAGCTTTCAAGGTGGATGTCAATACGTATATACATCGTACATACCTGGGCACCCTTGATCTGGGGGGCCTGGAGCGGCTGCCCCGTTTGCCCCCCTCCAGGGCCGGGCCTGAGTGCACTCGTCCAGCAAGTTGTACCGGCCGATGGTGCCCGACAACCGCCTGTGGCTGACCGGATCGCGGCAGATTAGCTGCAACGGGTCCAGGCGGACGACGATGCGGTGGATGCTGCACCACCATCTTCTTCCGGCGGCCTGGAAGTAGGCGTACGCCCATGTCGACCCGAGGGCCCTCATCAGCCATGCCACATCCATGAGGAAGGTAATGGCCAGCAAGGCGTAGGTGATCCCGACAAAGGATCCCCTGACCCGGTGGCCATCATCGCCCTGCTGCTGCTTATCAGGATGATGCCAGAAGCAGAAGAGAAATGCGGCAGCAGCAGTGAAGAGGGGCGACAACAAGCGGATGAGGTAGTAGTGCCAGGTGTGTGCCAGGATCGCCTTGGTGTAGAGGAACTCGTAGATGAGAGACAGCTCCATCTCGGCCACCTTGCACATGCTCTCCCAGTCCCACCTGAGAGTATCATCTCGCTGGCTTCCTGCCTTGGTGAAATAGAAGCTGGTTCGACAGAAGAATCGACCAGGGCATGGCGCCAGATGGGGAACAGATCCTGAGCAAGGAGCAGCGCTTCTCCGTCGCGGAGCGACAGCCCCTGCCTCTTCGTCCTCTTGATTCTGCATTTCAGCATCTTAAAGTCGTCGTCCTTGCAGCTGCTTGACGAGGCGTCCTCCTGCATGCTGTCCAAGTTGGCTTTCCGTAGGGCGTAAGCCCTCTCCACGTACCTGACGACGCCGGCGACGAGCATGACGACGGACGCCGCGAGCAGCAAAGCCCAGCTGCGGCCGCCGCGATGTGTGTTGTTGTAGATGGTATAAATGACCACCAGAATCCGAACGCCTATCTCAAGCCATTTGCGGTTGGAGATCTTGTTGTCCTCCAGAGCGTAGGCGGTCAGGTTGTCCGGGCCGCCCAGGTGCAGCAGGAGGAACGGGGCCCAGAACGCGACCACCTGCTTCTCCTCCTCCGACGCATCGGAGCCGCAGAGGGACAGGCTGCCGAGTGCGCTCGTCGCCGCTGCCTCAGCGACCTGGTACGCAAGCCAGACGAACAACTTAGCCACCTCGCCTAGTAACGCCCACAACCAGCGGGACGCCGAGCGCCGCCGTGTCCCGGACAGGATGCCGACGACAAGATTTGCCCCTAAGCTCGAGACGACAGTGATCCGGAACCCCCATTCGCTCCACCACGGCACCGACTGTGCCAAAATCATGGTCAGCATCATTCCGAGCCAGAACATGGTCGATCCACCAGAGCGGGCGGCCTTCCAATTAAGCTGCCTGCGACCTGCTGCACCCATATATATCAAACTACAGCATGAGACCTGCTGCATTGACTTTCTCCTTATTATTATCAGTGAAAAGATATACATGTATCTATATGCATATACCGTGTGGCCGGGCCGGCTGCTTCCCCAGATCAATCAGTCAATATATGCAACTGATAGTATATCTACATTCGTTTTGTAATAATATACTACAATAATAACAGGCTATCGTTTAGTCGATGCAACTGATAGTATATCTACATTCATTTTGTAATAATATACTACAATAATAACAGGCTATCGTGTAGTCGATGCAACTGATAGTATAAAAGTTGACATGTCATGTAAACACAAATTAAATGTGATATAGCCCACTCGTTACATATATATATATATATATATATATAGACACACACAGAGAGACAACCAAGATTCGGAACGGTTGGAGTAATACCGTTAAAAAAAAACACATATAGCATCATGGAGACGTTTCTATCATGGGCGGCCCAAAGCCTGTTCAAGGATTCCTGTTTTAAATACTATACAACTAGTAGAGACACCAGAGAGAAAACGACCTTTGATCTCGCCTCAAAATTTGGCTTTAGTCCTGGTATTTCTTGTGCCGGGAGTAGAGAGACCTTTAGCCCGGTTTGTAGCTCCAACCGGGACTAAAGGTCCCTGCCTAACGGCTATCAAGGGCAGGCTTTTTACCGCAGGGGACCTTTAGTTTCAGTTGGAGCTACCAACCGACTAAAGGTTAACTTTACTCCTCGGTTGGTACCTCCAACCGGGAGTAAGTCTACTCCCCGGCCGGAGGCTCCGTCCGGGACTAGAAAGGGACCTTTAGTCCCGGTTTACATCTCAAACTCGGACTACAGCCTCCTCCTATAGCCTTTCTTCCTCCCCGAGCCCGAGCCACTTCGAGCTCAGTGTTTTCTTGCTTCATCGCCGGCCTCTCTTCTTCCTCATCGTCGGTAATCATAAGATTTTCTTCGATTCCTCCATCGATTCTTCGGTTATAAGGGTTACCAACTTTATACTCTCATATTTTATCAGTAGCATATCTCATTTTGTAGACTAGATATATGTGGTTTTTTATGGTGAATTTTTTTTTATTTGTAAGCCATTTAAGCTCAAAATCACTTTAAAGTTTGCATATTTGGATGAAGGAAGGTTAAAGTAGTTATTCAAAACTAGTATTAAGCTTTCATTTCTAGCATGCATAGCAAACTTCATGGTTTAGAGATATAGAGCATTTTAGAGTTTTTTTTAATTTTATTTGTTTATAAAATAAGAAATTTATATTATATTAAAAATGAGTATAGAGAGTAGATGGCAACTGCTTCTGGGTCCTCGGCCTCTCATCAGGTTCCAAAGTGACTGAGGCCGGACCTCCCTCTCATTGCATGCAGCAAGTGTGAGGAGAAGATTGTGATGGAGTACCGGGTGAGGAAGGAGTGTCCCAACAAAGGCCGTATCTTCTACAAGTGTTCGGATCACAATGTGAGTTATTTTGTCGCATTTGATGATTATGGATAATTTATACTTATTTTCATGATGATTGTGATTAAAGTTCTAATTTTTTGTTTTAATTTCAGTGGGATGACACTGGATGTTCAGGCTGGTACTGGGAGGAAGAGTATGTTGAACACGTGCAAAACTCTCTTGCACAGGCGGCTACGGCGGCTGATGAGGTAGTGATCCTGCGGAAAAAGCCCATAGATGTTGAACAAATGCATGATCTGTCTGTTTTAGTTGGGATTGGTCGTGAAATTCTTATGCTGCTGAAGTGCATTTTAGCTTTAGTTTTTCTACTGGTAGTTGGGATTGTCTACATTGTAGCGAGACTTTCATAAATTAATACCTTGTGTGGTGGCATGCATGTCATATAATTAACTAATTATGTTCTAGGTTTTAATATGGTATGTATGTCGTGTAATGCAGATGAGCCGGCATTGGATGTACAATGCTGATCGTCGCTCCCTAGAGCTCATTGAGGGTGTGCATTCTTTCTTATGTGTGGCCGAGGCAAACAAACGCGATGGTTTCATGTGCTGCCCATGTGCCATATGTAAGAATTTGAAGGAATATGCTAGCTCAAGGAGTCTTCATTCATACTTGTTGAAGTCAGATTTCATGCCAAACTATATTTGTTGGACGAAGCACGGAAAAACTGGGGTTGTAATAGAAGAAGGTGAAGAAGAACAATGGGACGATGATGACATTATTGCTGAATATGGTGCCTTCAATGATACTGCAATGGGGGAAGCTAAAGAAGAGGTAGTGATAGAAGATGAGCCCGCTGATGATCTTGGCCAGGCCATTCGTGACGCACAAAGAGAATGCGAAAGTGAAAAGGAGAAGATCAAGTTCGAGCGCATGCTAGAGGATCACAAGAAATTGCTATACCCAACTTGTGATGCGGGACAGAAAAAGTTGGGTACCACACTAGAATTGCTGCAATGGAAGGCAAAGAATGGTGTATCTGACAAGGGATTTGGGGAGTTACTGAAAATCCAAAAGAAGATGCTTCCGAAGGATAACGAATTGCCCGTCACTACGTACGAAGCAAAACAGGTAGTCTACCCTTTGGGATTAGAAATCCAGAAGATACATGCATGTCCTAATGACTGCATCCTCTACCATGGTGAGGAGTACGAGAAGTTAGATGCATGCCCGGTACATCATGCATCACGGTATAAGATCAAGCGAGATGACCCTGGTGATGTTGAGGGCGAACGTCCCACGAAGAAAATCCCTACCAAGATTATGTGGTATGCTCCTATAATACCATGCTTGAAACGTCTGTTCAGAAACAAAGACCATGCAAACTTGTTGCGATGGCACAAAGAAGACCGTAAGGTAGACAATATGTTGAGACACCCTGCTGATGGGTCCCAGTGGAGAGCAATCGATAGAGAATTCCCGGAGTTTGCAAATGACGCAAGAAACTTAAAGTTTGCTTTAAGTACGGATGCTATGAATCCTTTCGGGGAGCAGAGCAGTAGTCATAGCACTTGGCCTATTACTCTATGTATCTACAACCTTCCTCCCTGATTATGCATGAAGCGTAAGTTTATTATGATGTCAGTGCTCATCCAAGGCCCAAGGCAACCTAGCAACGACATCGATGTGTACCTGAGGCCACTAGTTGAAGAACTTCTACTTTTGTGGAATAGACCAGGTGTACGTGTGTGGGATGAGCACAAATAGGAGCACTTTGACCTACGAGCATTGTTGTTCATAACAATCAATGATTGGCCTGCTCTAAGTAATCTTTCAGGACAATCAAACAAGGGATATAATGCATGCATGCACTGTTTCGATGACATTAAAGGTATATTCTTGAAAAAATGTCGAAAGGTCATGTACCTTGGCCATCGTTGATTTCTTCCTGCGAATCACCCCTTAAGAAAGAAAGGCAAGCATTTTAAAGGTATGGCAGGCCACCAGACCAAGCCGGGCAACCGAACTGGAGAGGATGTACTCAATATGGTCAAGGATGTGAAAGTAGTATTTGGAAAGGCACATGGCAGTGAACCTGTTCCAAACGACGCTGACGGTCACGCACCCATGTGGAAGAAGAAGTCCATATTTTGGGAGCTACCCTATTGGCAAGTCCTAGAGGTCCGTAGCGCGATCGACGTGATGCACCTGACGAATAATCTTTGTGTGAACCTGCTAGGCTTCATGGGTGTGTATGGGAAGCCTAAGGACACACTTGAAGCACGACAGACCTGCGGTGTTTGAAAGAACGAGACAATCTACATCCAGAGAAGACAGATGATGGACGCCATTACTTAAGTCCTGCCAGCTACACTCTTAGCAAAGAAGAGAAGGAAAGCATGTTTGAATGCCTAGCAAGCATCAAGGTACCATTTGGATTCTCCTCGAATATAAAGGGTATAATAAATGTGCCAGAGAAGAAATTCCTAAACTTAAAGTCCCATGACTGCCACGTGCTCATGACATAATTGCTTCCAGTTGCATTAAGAGGAATTCTACCTCCAAATGTATGTCTAGCCACCATGAAGCTATGTGCATTCCTCAATGCAATTTCTCAGAAGGCAATCTATCCAATGGATCTAGCTAAACTACAAGAATGATGTGGTTCAATGTCTTGTCAGTTTTGAGTTGGTGTTCCTTCCTTCCTTCTTTAATATCATGACACACCTTCTAGTTCACCTGGTCAAGGAGATTAGCATTCTAGGTCCTGTGTTCCTGCACAACATGTTCCCCTTTGAGAGGTTCATGGGAGTCCTAAAGAAATATGTTCACAACCGTCCTCGGCCAGAAGGAAGGATCGCCAAGGGCTATGGAACAGAGGAGGTCATTGAGTTTTGTGTTGACTTTATTCCTGACCTTAACCCGATTGGTGTTTCTGAATCGCGGCACGAGGGGAGACTAAGTGGAAAGGGGACACTAGGAAAGAAAACATATATTGGTACGCAGGACAATTATTTTAATAAAGCACACTACACAGTTCTACAAAACTCCTCCTTGGTGGATCCGTATATCGAGACAAATAAAGAGTTGCTCCGATCCGAGTTTTCAGGGAAGTCTGAAGCTTGGATTACGTGTCAGCACATGGAAACTTTCAGCGACTGGTTACGAAAAGAATATCAGGGTGATGAGAGTATTGATGAGCAACTGTATTTGTTGGCTAGGCAGCCATCATGACGTATCCTCACATACAAAGGGTACGAGATAAATGGGAATACATTTTACACAGTAGCCCAAGATAAAAGGAGCACCAACCAAAACAGTGATGTATTAGACCTATTGTGTAATAACTGTGACTTTAGATTTTTTTATCGTGTTTTCGTATTTTCTACGGTTTAAATGAATTTTTTGCTTGACGGTGGATTTCCCGTGGAGAATGTGTGATGAAAAACCAAATGATCAACGTTAATAAGATTTGAAAACTTATTTCCTGTCGAAAAGTAATAGTTTTAATAATTTTAATCAAGTAG